TTCTGGCTTACTCATTCACTAGCTGAAGGAACTGGAGGAAGTCATATCACCTCTCTGGGCCTCAGCTTGCTCATCTGCAAGATGGGAATAACAATACCTCCCTCACAGAGTCCTTGTGAAGATTAAATGTGTTACCTTGGTGTAGGATTTAGGACAGGGGAAAAAAAAAACTTAAAAGTATTAAAAATAAAGTATACAGTCAATGGTTTTTAACATATTCACAGAGTTGTGCAACCATCACCACAATCAATTTTTAGAACATTTCTCAGTCCAAAAGACACTGTACTTGTTAGCAATCCTCAGACAATGGTTCTCAGTCCAAGCTGACAAGAACCAGTGTCTATGACTAGGCTGGGGTGGGGTGGGATCACTCAACCCACATGGCTGCCACAGAGTGGAGAGAGCAGACAGGATTCTGGGAAGGCAGAGACAACATCCAGCATAGCTGCGTTCCACTCACCTCACCCTGACCTTGACCCCCCAATGCTAACAGCCTCCTGCAGTGCACCTGATGTTGTAGCTTACCTTCCTCACCTCACCATGATTGTTTTGAGAGCAACAAGAGTAGGCCAGGTCTCATTTCAGAGAGATAAATTGGCCAAGACGAGAAACTCATCCTTGGCAGAGGGGACAAACTAGGCAAAAGTATAGGAGGTGTGAGAGACAGGAGAACTTGCCAACTTGATCATTGGAAAGCAAGGTTCATGTGGAGAAATGATATGTGATGAGGCCAACAAGTTTCTCCCAGTTTGACGGTTCTAACAGTTCTTACTGATATTCTTTGCTATGCTACTAGATGCATAAATGTTCAGCTATCTCATCTCTTCTAAAAATAATCCTTTTTTTTTCCATTTGCTAAAAGTTTTGCTGAAAGTCATGGTAACCCAAATGCAGTTGTATCTTTATTACCTCATTTCTCTGATGAAGAAACAGGCTCAGAGAGGCAAAGCCAAGGTCACACAGAAAAAAAAAGGATAGAGCCTGGATGTGGCTCCAGCGCTGAGTTACTCCAGCTTTTTGAATAATCTTTCCAAGATAGTCTCTTCAAGTATAACTAAATATTTGCCTTTGTTCTAGCACAGACGGTAACATGGTTCAACTTTATTCTTTCCCTTGTTTTTACTCCATACATTCAGGAGGTCATTCCATACTTTTATATAAATGTGTTGTCTATGTATTTCTTTTCCTTTTTTTCTCCCTGCTAGAGTATTCTGTTGAACAGATTCTCTCTAATTATTTGGCCAGTTCCCTGTGGAAGGGTATTTAGGTTAGTTCCAGACTTTTGCTACTATAGCAACCATCTTCAACCTGGTACCTTCGCTCCCCTCAAGTCTATCTACTGAGTCAAAAAAAAAAAAAATGTTTTAAATTCTGAACTTTGCCAAATTCCCCTCCGGGGAAGCTGTCCCATGCAAGTAGCAGAGGATGTTTTAAATTCAAGGAGCACTTTAAAAAGCTTCTGACTAAAGGATGGAAGGATGTGGGAATATCTCACCCCATCTGCCATCGCTCTGGGCCCTGAGCCCACACCCCACCTACCTCCACAGCGCAGGCCACAATGATCTCCTTCTCTTTCTCAAATGGCCAAGCTAGTTCCCACTTCAGAGCTTTTGAACTTGCAGCCAGAAATGCCCTTCCCAGGATCTCCCTGTGGCTCATTCCTTCATCCTTTACCTTTCACCTTTCTTTAGAGAGGCCTTCCCAGTTAAAGTAGCCCCATGCTAGTTTCTATCTCCTACCTGGTTTTATTTCTCTGACAGCACTTACCAGAACCTGAGTTATCTTATGTATGTACTTGCTGACATTCTGTCTCCCTCACTCTATGATGGCTGGGAGTTTTCTGTCCTTTCACGCACAGCTGTATTCTTAGCACCTGGTGATCACTGGGCATGTTGCTGCCTCCCCTCTCCCAGTTTCCTAACCCTGCTCTAAATATCTCCATGAAATGTATTCCCTTCCAACATATGTAAATTACTTGTTTATTATATGTATTGTCTGACTCCCTCACCAGACCGTCAGCACCAGAAGAGTGAGGGTCTTATTTTGGTCACTGTTGGATCTCGAATCCAACAGTATATGGCACACAGTAGGCACTGGACAAATATTTGTTGCATGAATGAATGAAAGTATTAGTGAACAAATGAGGATCATAACCCCCACCCTCCTGGGCTAGCAGGCTGTCCCTCCAGGGAAAAATCCCTGTTAAAGAGCAGGTCCTCCAGAAGGTGAGGACATTTCTGAACCCTCTTTTTGGACTTGAAGCCAGGCGAGGAGCACGAAGCATGCAGGGCCAGGTTGGCCAGATCCCCGGCGGACTTCGCCACAGAAGGCTGGTGGCTAGCTCTGGCTCCGGCCCAGGAGTCCCCGCCCCTCCCCGAAGGACCCCGCCCGCTTCCCCTGAGGCCCCGCCCCACCATGGAAGCCCCACCCCGTTTAGGCGATCCCACCCAGTCCTCCCTGAGGCTCCGCCCCATCTGTCAGCTGGCCTCAGCGCCCGCCGGGCTCTGCTCCGACCTTGCAGCGGCGCAGCACCGGGGAAAGGCGGGGAGGAGCGGCGGGAGTGGCCGAGGGAGCGCAGCGCAGGGCGCAGGCTCCAATGAGCGGCGCGGAACCTGCGTCCCCGACGACCCGAGCCCGCTGCGCGCCCCCTCCCACGGCTCACCTGGTGCCGGGTAACAGGTAAGGGCACACGCTTGGGACCCCTACCCGGGACCTTCCCAGCCCAGGGCTCCTAACCGGGCGCAGACTGGGGAGCACCCCTGCCTCAGAAGGAGTAGGCGTCTCGGCTGAAGGTGGGAGCCTCCTTATATTTCACCCCACCTGGAGCCTGCAGCCACTGCTCCCAGCCCCCCAGCCCCGCAGCATCCTTTGCGCCCCGCAGCGCGAACCTTGCATTTTTTTAACCTCTCAGGCGCCTCCGCCTCTTGGAAAACGGGGTTGGGGGGTAGGAGAAACGAAGGTCCTGAGATGACTATAGTCCCCCAGGATCAAGCTGGTGCGACTTCTGTGGGCTCCCCACTGCCCATGGCGCGGCCTACCCAGGGTGTCTGAGCATCCAGCTGAGGCATAAGCCTGGGGGCGGCCTGGGCCTGCGGCCGGGGCAAAGCCTTTGCCTCAGTCTGCCCAGCGGACCAATGGGCTTTCGCTGCTCCCCAGTAGCCATCCTGGCAGTTAGGCCTGTGGGTTCCCAGGGGCCTCTCCCTTATTTCTCCGTTGAAAAAGATCTCCTCCCCAGGCCTGTGGTTCATTGAGATAGCTTTAAGGAGGCTTGGCAGGATTCCCCGCCTCTGCCCCACTGCCTAGAGGTGGGGTGGCCTCCTTTCCCCTTTTCTTCATGGGGCAGGAGCCGAGTGACAAGAGGACCGTGGGAAGGGCGCCTCCTCCCATCTTTCCTAGAGTTGCCTAAGTGTCTTCCCCAAGTCTCAGAGTAAGTGCTCATCCCTGCTTAGGATGCCAGAATGAGAGTTAAAGTGGAGCCATGTTCACCCGGTCAGGTCCTGTCCTGTCTCTGGTGGCCCCATGGCAGCACTGTCCCACCAGTGATCCTCAGTCCCTGGAGCCTGCTGAGTAGTGAGTGGGCCTTTCCAGCTGGGCCCACTTTGGAGTAAGAAGCTTGCCAAGTTAGGGGTGAACTGAGGCCACTGGGCCACCAAAGTCCTTCAAGATCTTCTCTTACCTATTAAAAGAACTTAATGCGGCTATTAAAAAAAAAAAAAGACCTTCTCTTACAGTGCTCCAATAGCCTGGGCAGGGGACCTCAGAAAGTGAAATGCTGGGTGTCAGTCCTGTTTTGTCCGTTTTTTGCATGTCACTTAACTTCCTCAGGCCTATGTCTCCTCAGCTGTAAAATGAGGATGGTAACCACAGGGTCCTCCCAGGGTGGTGACATCAAGGATTGACTGTGTTGGGAGGCACCAGGCCCTTAGTGACTCCATGAACTGTGATGGTAATTGTTATTTATTATCTCCTGGCTGTTCCAGACTTAACTTTCCTATAGCTAACTGATGGAGATGCCCCAGCTAACATCTTCTCTCCTAGGCAGAAAAGCTTTTGGCAAGACCCTTGTTGGGGACAGTAGCAGGGTTACTTGCTAATCTTGTGCCGTTCCTTAGCATTTGGGGTCATGGAGTGTTGTTCCTATCTTCCTGGGCCATGTTGGGCCCTGGGTGAGGCCTGCTTTGGCCTCTGGCCAGCACCTTGTCCCTTGGGGCACGCATGTCACCCTTGTACCCACAATTTGCCCTCCAGCTCCATCTAGCTGAGTTCAGCCGTGTCCTCCAAGTTGGGCAGATGGAAAGCAGCATATGATCCCCGTCCTTACCTCCTCACAGCCTTGCTGGTAGGGTCTGTCCTCTTAACGTTCCTACTTGTAACTTTAAAAATACCGGAGTAACTATCCCCGCTGAAGACTGTAACCTGACCTGGGTTGGATTCTACTCTGCTGGGAGCCTAGAGTACAAGGACTCAGCACTTAGGGGCAGGGGACTGAGATGCTACCACTGCTCTGCCCCACCTCTCAGGTGACCCTAGACAAGCCTTGCCCCTTCCTCTCTGGGCCTCAGTTTCCCCACTTGCAAAACATGGTTCAGATAGTCTGTGATATTGATGTTTAAAATGTTTATTCTGGTGAAGATAAATAGTTGGGGGTCTTGGGTGGGTGGTGGCAACTGGGGTTGTTGGGGTATTGGGAAGGAATTTCCCCAGTAACTGGGAGTCATGACAGAGAGAGCTGGCAAAGCGCCTGGGCACAGGCCAGGCTTCAAGTCTCTGGCGGGTCTGCCTCCTGTCTCACTTTAGAGCCTCAGCCCCTTCTGGAGACTGTGGGATCCCTTGTGTGCACCAAGAGGAAGGCAGCAACTGAGGTGGCCAGCAGGACCTGGTGCAGTCAGCAGGGACTGGGCCAGGAGGCCTGAGGTGGCTCTGGGCCAGGAGCTTCCCTCCCAGAGCGCCTACTCAAGCTCACCCACTCACTTGCTCTGCAGCTTCTGCAATGCAGCAGACAGGAGCCTGCGTTGGCAGCTCAGCCAGGGCTGAGGGTAAGCAAGGGCCTGGGCAGGGGGTGTCTGTCCATCCTACCCCCTCTCCTGCCCTTGAACCCACTCGGCTCTGGCTCTCTTTGGAGGGGTAGTTGCTGACTAAGCAGCCATTGCCTCTATGACAGGCTTGAACTTCCCAGAAGCCCTGGGGTAAAAGCAGATCTAGCTTGGGGGCCATCATCCCTGTGCCCTGTCTGTATCTCAGATCCCTCCTCAACACCAGTAGGAGGCTTTCCTACTCTGGAGAGGCTGCTTTGAAGGATTAGAGCCTTGGAGTTGAGAGCACAGATTTCGGAACTCAACAGTCCAAGTTCACATTCCAGGTCTGGCACTTCATCACTGTGTAACCTGGCACAGGTCACTTAACCTCTCTGTGCCTCACTTTTCTCAGCTGTAAAATGGGAATAATAATAGAACCTACTTTCTAGGATTCTTGTGGGTATTACTACATGTAGATGACTTAGAACAGTGCTAGGCAAGGGTTTACATCCATAAATACCAGCTGTTCTTATTGTCACCTTCCTTATCACCATCACTGCTTCCCTGAGCCCCCTCTGATATAGACTCTATTTCCTTAGAGGAACCCTCCCTCTTAACATTTGTTGTATTGAAAGGACAGCTCTCAGTTCCTACCCCAGCCCTACTCTTCACCAGCTATGTAGTCTTGGGCAGGCTATAAACTTCTCTGGGCTTCGGTTTTTCTAAATGTGATGATGAGAGTGCACACCTCACAAAGTGGTTGTGAAGATTAAATAACTGAAGCACATGGCACAGGCAGGGTTCGTAGGAAGTGCCATGTTACATAACAGACTACTTGTAGTTATTGGACACCCACTTTGTGCCAGGCACACAATACAGAGGTGGGGAATCAGGTGCCAGGGTCCTTTACATACCAGCTCAAGTCCAGGCTTGGGCCCTTTTTGACTGAGTGTCTGGAACAGGTGATTTTGTCTCTCTGTGCCTTGGTTTTCCCAACTGTAAATGTGAATGTGGAAACACTGGCCCTGCCAGATTATGCGAGGTGCTGGTCACTGCACAGCCTGAGTGGTTTGAGCATAAGAGATGTGGGGAGAAGCTCTCTCAGGATGGCCTCCTTTACAGAAACAGCTCACAGTTACTCCTCCTGTCACTTGTGTCCTCTCTCCTCCACCTGAGGGCTCCAGGGCTTTGCCCATTTTACAGATGGGACAACAAAAGCTCCTGGCAAGGAAGGCCTGAACCCAAGTCCCAGTAGCACTCAGGGATACACCCCACCCCAGCCCCGCTCTATGCTGGACAAGCCCCACTCCCACCCCAGGCCCCCAAGCCCACCTCCTAAGTGTCCCTGCAGCTCTGGGCTCTCCTAGGCCCTGGTGAGATGTGAGGGCCCAGGGCAGGGAGGTGCTTTGGACAAGCAGACATCAAGATCTAAAAAGCCAAAGTGGCCTAGAGTTGGGCATGAGGGACATGGGCTGCAGGAAAAGATTCTGGAAACTTCTAAGCAGACATGAAGCTCCCTGGGTTGCTGTAAGGCCTACAAACCACCCACCCCCTTCAAATTCCCTCTTGGTCTAAGAGGATGAAGGTTTGCAGAGATGGAAGGCCTGATTTGGAGAGGAGGGACGTGAACAAACATGTATTAAACACTTTCTGTATTTAGTTGATAATGGTCAGAAGCAATTATTATGTGCCCAAAATGATGTTCATGTATCTAACCTCAGACTGATAGTTTGCAAATGAGGAAGCATGTTCGAAGAAAGCAGTAGTTATGGTAAAAACAATGATCATTTATTGAACTTTGCTTATCTGAGGGCACCTTTCTTTTTTTTTTTTTTTTTGCAGTTTTTGGCTACAGCTGGGTTCAAACCGGCCATCCCTGGTATATGGGGCTGGCATCCTACTCCTTAAGCCACAGAGCCACCTGGCACCTTTATTTTCACAAAGCTTGCCACGACCTCTAGTTTTCCTCCCCACGCCCTTCACCTTTGACCTCATGAGGCTTCCTTGCCTTCCTAAGGTGCACTCTTGTCTCTGGGTTCTGGCATTGCCTATTTCACCTGTCCAAATGCTTTCCCTCAGTCAGCCACATGGCAGATTCCCTCACCTCTTTCCAATCTTGCTCAGGTGTTACCTTCCCAGCAAGGTCTTCCTTGGCCCATCTTATTTACCTCCCCCTTATCCCTGTAGCTCTTATCTCTTACCATATCATGTCCTTATTTTCTGTCTCCCACTTGAGCATGTCATCTCCACAAGAGCAAGGGCCTTCATTCATTGTTAAATCCTCAACACAAAGGACAGAGTCTGGCCCACAGCAAGCACTCAAGAAATATTCTTGGCCTGGGCACCATGGCTTCTGCCTGTAATCCTAGCACTCTGGGAGGCCGAGGAGGGTAAGAGGTTAGTTAAGGACTGAAAATGAGAGGTTATTCCGAGACATGAACAAAAGGAAGTGGAGTCCGGGTTCTGTGTGGGTAGGTGGCCTTTATTCACTCAGGTGAGAGTGGGCTCAGTTTGAAAAAGAAGTCAGCGCGTGGGTTAAGGCGGGTGGGAATATAAGGATTTGAAGGAGTAGGGATTGGAACATTCATTCATTCCTGGGCCAAACGGTTCTATTTGGGCAGGTCCCTATGTTTGGCCCTATCAAAGGGTGGATTGCCTGAGCTCATGGGTTGGAGATCAGCCTGCGTAGGATCAAGACTCCATCTCTAGGCTCGGCGCCTGTGGCTCAAGAGGCTAAGGCAGCAGCCATATATACCTGAGCTGGCAGGCTTGAATCCAGCCGGGGCCTGCCAAACAACAATGACGGCTGCAACCAAAAAATAGCCAGGTGTTGTGGCGGGCGCCTGTGGTCCCAGCTACTTGGGAGGGGGAGACAGGATACTCCCTTGAGCCCAGGAGTTGGAGGTTGCTGTGAGCTGTGATGCCACAGCACTCTACCCAGGGTGACAGCTTGAGGCTCTATCTCAAAAAAAAAAAAGACCCCATCTCTAAAAATAGCCAGGTGTTGTGATAGGCACTTGTAGTCCTGGCTACTTGGGAGGCTGAGGGAAGAGAATCACTGCAGCCCAAGAGTTTGAGGTTTCGGTGAGCTATCACACCATAGCACTCTATCGAGGGCAACAAAATGAGACTCTGTCTCAAAAAAAGAAAATAAAATAAACATTTTTGGAATGAGTGGAATCTTCCTAAGACCCCAGGAAGTCAGTAGTGCTCTTATTATTGCCATTTTAAAGATGAGGAAACTGAGGCTCAGAGATGTCAAGTGACTTGCTCAGGGTCACACAACCAGCAAGTACCAAACCTGAATCTGTCACCCAGTTGCACACTGTTGCCCCTGCAGGTCTGGCCTCACCTTGTGGACAACGATGGCCTTGCCTCCGTGAGCTACCAAATGCCCCTCAGCACCTGCCAGTCACTAGCCAGCAGGATGCGGCTGTGGAAGGCAGTAGTGGTGACCCTAGCCTTCATGAGCATGGACGTTGGTGTGACCACAGCCATCTATGTCTTCAGCCACCTGGACCGCAGCTTGCTGGAGGACATCCGCCATTTCAACATCTTTGATTCGGTGCTGGACCTCTGGGCAGCCTGCCTCTACCGCAGCTGCCTGCTGCTAGGGGCCACCATTGGAGTGGCCAAGAACAGTTCCCTGGGGCCCCGGCGGCTGCGGGCCTCATGGGTGGTCATCACTCTTGTGTGCCTGGTTGTGGGCATCTACGCCATGGTGAAGCTGCTGCTCTTCTCTGAGGTGCGTAGGCCCATCCGGGACCCGTGGTTCTGGGCCCTCTTCGTGTGGACGTACATCTCACTCGCTGCCTCCTTCCTGCTTTGGTGGCTGCTGTCCACCGTGCAGCCGAGCACAGAGGCCCTTGAGCCAAGGGCCGGGGCCCAGTCCCCACCCGAGCAGGCATCTGGAGCCACACTGAAGAAGCTGCTCTCCTACACCAAGCCTGACGTGGCCTTCCTCGTGGCTGCCTCCTTCTTCCTCATTGTGGCAGCTCTGGGTAAGTGAGGACCTCGGGGCCTGGCAAGCACCCAGGAAATCCAGTTAGGTGGGTACAACCACCTCCTCTTCTTTTACATTTTACTTATACATTGCAAACATCAAACATATGAAAAGGAAAACATTGTAAGTTTTACTCTTAATTCTACCCCGACTACCCTGATCCTCCTGCCCAAGGCTGACAATAGAAAAAGTTTCTAGAAACTTCCAAGTGGGCAGAAAACCACTTCTATTCATTTCCTGTGTATGTTCCTAATGTTTCCTTTTACCGCTATAAGCAAATAAGAACACAGGTTCCTCTCCCCTAACCTCTTACCCTAACTCTTTGCACTTAATGATATATTCCAGAATTTTCCCAACTAGTAGCTGATTCTTATATTCAGCTGCCTAGTATTCTGTGATGTGGCTATAGCATAGATTATTTAATTGATCTCCCATTGTTGGACTCTTGGGTTGTCTTGAGTCTTTTTCTCTTACAATGAATAACTGTGTTCATCTGTGTTTCATAAGAATGAATGTAGATAGGTCTGTGTGATAAATTTCTGGAATTGAGATCACTGGGTCAAAGGGATTTTTTGTAATAAAACAGAATAGAATAGAAAACATGAGAGCACACTGCCTGTGGTAAGATGAAATGCTGTTTTGTGAAAGTTTTCTTTTAGTTGTGTGTGCCTGTGTGTAGAGTGTCTTGGCTTGTGATGGGAACCACATCTGTCACTGTGGGTCTGGTCCAAACAGTGGGAAAACACTGCTCCAGCAGCATGAGTGGGAAGGTGGCATTACTGGGTTGAGACTCTATGGGTTTAAATGCAAGCCCTGCTCCTTACCCTGCTGCATGGCTGTGTGTAAGTTCTCAAAACCTCTGAGCCTTGGGGCAGTGCCTGTGGCTCAAAGGAGTAGGGTGCTGGCCCCATATACCAGAGGTGGCAGGTTCAAACCTGGCCCTGGCCAAAAACTGCAAAAAAAAAAAAAAACTCTGAGCCTCACCTCTCTCTTTTGTAGAGCAGAGGTCATTAGAGTTCTTATTAAATGATGTTGTAAAGGTTGAGTAAAAGCTGGCAGGAGGGGGACAGAGTACAGAGCTTGGCGCATCATGCTAAGTACTCAGGAATGTTAGCCATTATCAGTTTTTAAAAAAAATTTTTTTTGAGACAGAGCCTCAGGCTATCCCCCTGGGTAGAGAGTGCTGTGGCATCACAGCTCACAGCAACCTCCAACTCCTGGGCTTAAGCGAGTCTCCTGCCTCAGCCTCCCAAGTAGCTGGAACCACAGGCACCCGCCACAAGGCCTGGCTATATTTTGGTTGCAGTTGTCATTGTTGTTTTGGCGGGCCCGGGCTGGATTCGAACCTGCCACCTTAGGTGTAGGTGTATAGCCACTTGAGCCACAGGTGCCAAGCCAGTTTTTAAAATTTTAACTCACAAGGACAGAGCCTGAGAGTGGTGACCATGCCAAAATGTTCTCAAAGAGGACAGGCAGACCCTAGAGCTGCCCCTGAGCCTACAGCTCTCTTCTTCTTGCTAACCACCCTGCATCCTCTCAGTCTCAGCCCCTCAACAGCTGTATGGTTTTAGGTACATTGTTTAACCTCTCCAAGTCTCAGCTTCCTCATCTGTAAAATGGGCATAGTGATACATAGTATTGTGGGTTGGGAGGGTCTGTGAATTCATACACATAAGACTCCTTGACAGCATCTGGCACAAGAACAGTTCCCAGTAAACAAGATCCAGATGTTCCCTCTTTGGAAAGCCTTCCTGGATTCTCCCTTCGTCTGCACTTCAGTTATTGTACCAATGATGTGAAATTCGTGTATCCACCCTCCTGCCTCCCCTCACAGGTCCTGATCCCCTTGGGGGCAGGGGCCCAGTCTGACTCACCCTTGGTCTCCAAACCTGGCATGGCCGTGGGCTTATTGAATGGATAAATGAATGAATGTGTAAATGATTGTCATGCCTATGCAGGCAGATGGCGCCCAGGACCTTGTTTCCCCTGCCTGCTGGGGCCCTGTGGTCAGCCAGTATGAGCTCAGGATGTACAGAACCCAGCCAGCAGGATTGCACCGAGGCTAAGCTGTCAAACTTGAGGCTTGGGCTCGTGACTTTATATTTATTTATTTATTTATTTATTTTTGAGACAGAGTCTCACTATATTGCCCTTCAGTAAAGTGCTATGGCGTCACAGCTCACAGCAACCTCCAACTCTTGGGCTGAAGTAATTCTCTTGCCTCAGCCTCCCAAGTACCTGGGACCACAGGCGCCTGCCACAACACCTGGCTATTTGTTGTTGTTGTTGTTGTTGTTGCAGCCATCATTGTTGTTTGGCAGGCCCAGGCTGAATTCAAACCTGCCAGCTCAGATGTATATGGCTGGCGCCTTAGCCGCTTGAGCCACAGGCGCCGCCCCACTTTCCCATTCTTAAATGAGGGTTTGGTTCAGTGACTGAGAATTAAGTGAAATGAAATGTAGTGCCTAGCAAAAGTAAATACTGAATAAATGTCAAGTACTATAATAATTAATCATTATTTGCCAATCAAGGAGAATTTAGTAGTATCCAGCCTTTTCTGTGTCTTCACAATCTTTCTTTTTTTTTTTTGAGACAGAGTCTTACTTTGTCATCCTGGTAGAGTGATGTGCTATCACAGCTCACAGCAACTTCCAACTCCTGGGTTTAGGCAATTCTCTTGCCTCAGCCTCCCAAGTAGCTGGGACTACAGGC